ATTATTCTTCTTTAAGATTTTCTATATCATGTCATCTGCAAATATAGTTTTACTTCTTCCTTTCCAATTTGGATGACCTGATGTTTTTAATATCTGAAATTTTTGTAAATCAATTCCTATTCATGGTACTATGTTCCTTTGTACTTCTTTCTTTATGATTTTTAACTGTGAGCTATTATTCAGTTCCTGCAGAGTATTTGTTTGTTTCCACCAGCAACAGTTTACTCTGATTTGGAACAACTTTAAAAATTAAATCTTCTGCTTGGGTTTTCTCAGAGATGTAAGATTTAGGGCTGCAAATCCTCAAAAAGGCCAAACTATTATTACATATTCTGAGAGACTATTCTCCTGCCACAGAGCATCAAGATTCAAGATATGCAAACTCCTCATTCTGTGTATTAGGGATGGGTTTATCCTATTTGACACCACTCTTTGGATACATTCTGGACTTTGCCAGTGAAAATGAAAGTATGTTTCATTTGGTTCTTCAAGTGCTTCAAGATGAAAGCCGGTTTCTGGTTATAGCCTCCTTTCTTTTTAGGTTTATGGTTTCAATTTGGTTCTGGCTTGAGACTACTGTTTTCTTTCTTGATAGATAAATAACAGATTTTTTAAAAAGTGTTTTTTCCCCCTAGCATGTTTAGTTGCTTTTTCCCAGGAATTGGACAGTGGCATCACCTACATTTGATAGAAACTGAAATGTCCGACCACTCAGAGGTGGTAATTTACTTACAGTAGTCAGAATCACGAAGGCTCCATTAATTATTTTTCTATTGTATATTGAAATTTTCGGTTTTTGTACTTTTGTAGTTAAAGTAAGGAATGCTTTTGACAAAGCCTACCTACCATTCAGCTCATAGTCATCTATTAAATATCAGATCACCTGACAATGTGCCAGGTGGTCGGTCATCTAGTCATTAAGGAATGTAGAACAAAACAGACAAAAATCCTTGTTCATATAGAGCTTACATTCTGGGGTGAGGTTGCAGAGGTAATAAATATTACAGTATTACTGAATATGCCATTGTATACTTTATGGTGGCAGCACTGCGTCGATATTTTATATAGAATAGTTGAGAAAAACCTCAGAGACCTAACAATTAGGGGAGGAGCCGTATTGTATCTGGAATAAGCTAATTCTAGGTAAAGGGAAGAGCAAGGGTAAACATCTGAAGGTAAGAAAAAGCCCAATTGTGTTCGTCTCAGCAGAGGCCTGTGTGAGCTGAGGAAGTTGGTGGGGGCAGACAAGAGTGATTATGAAGTACAGGTGGTGGGAAGTCATTCCAGCCTAAAACTTCTTTTAGAATTTTGGCTTTTGCTCTGAATAAGAGGAGAACCCTTAGGCTTGG